CGTGGGGTTGAGCTTTACGGGCGGGGCGGCCATAATCCCCGAACCGCTCCCTCCAGCCCCGGGGCGCCCTTGGTTCGGGCACGCGGGCAGCAAGCTCATCACCGAGGCATGGCTGCGGTATGGAGTGGATATGCCAGCATCCCGCAACACGGCCGTCTGGGCATTCCATGCAGAGCCTAACCCGTCCCACCACCTCCACAACTATCCCTCTATCCTCCCACACCTCGCCGACATGAGCCAGCACTTCGATGACCTCCTGGCTTCCGGCGTCACCGAGCAATATGACCCCAGCGTGCATGGCTCCGAGACCGACGTTGCTGCCGTCGTCAACCCCCTGCACGTCGTCCTCAAGCCTGATGGCTCCATCCGTCCCATAACCGACCCCTCTCGGTCTGGGGTCAACGAGTGCATGACCAAGCTCCCCTGCCCGCTCCGTGATCTCGCCACACTTCTCGAACAACTGCCAGCCAACGGCTTCCTGGGGAAGCGCGACCTGGCGAGCGGTTTCCACCACGTCAAGCTGGCGCCAGAGGCGCGCCGATTCATGGCCTTTCGGCACCCCTGCACCGGCACGCTGCAGTGCTGGGTCGCCCTTCCCGACGGCACTGCCTTTTCCCGTGGGTTGCCGAAGCCGCACCCAGCGAGTACGACTTGATTGTGCTCAGGCTCAACTAGATTCCCCCCGCACCCCGTTGGCCAGTGCCGGCAGGCTGTCACCGGGAGGAGGGAAGCTGCTCCGTCTGTGGGCGTTGCTGCGGAGCTGGGGATCTGCGCTGTGAGGCCTGCCCCTGCTCGGCGCATCGTCGGTGCCTCGGAATCACCCCAGGAGCCTACCCCGGCGGTTGGTACCGCTGCACCACTTGCTTGCTTGCAGCGGCGGGTATCGGATCAGTGGCCCATGGGAGTGTTCGGAGGAACTGGCACAGCTGACTGTGGCATTACACGGCAGCGCGGTTACAGACAGCTCATCCGTCACCTATGAGTCGGGGTGGCGACACTTTGTACACTTCTGCACGGAGGTCGCAGGGGTGCCGGAGGCGGGCGCCCTGCCCCGCCAGCGTGGGTCTGACCTCAATCGGGACCTGGTCTGTCTGTTCATAGCGCATGCAGTTGGCCGGTACACGGCCTCCACCGTCATCAGCACGCTGAGCACCCTGGCGGACTGGCAGTGGTTCATGGGAGTCTCGCCAGAGGCATATATCAGCCGCGACCCGCTGGTCAAGCGAACCCTGGGCCAAGCGTTGCTGCGAGGCTGGAGTCGGCATCGACCAAGACGAAGGCACCCCTGCCCCTGGGGGTGCTGAAGCTGCTCGTGGCGTAGCTACGGTGCAGGGCAAATGCGGAGCCGCGGAGGGCAATGGAGTTCACCCAGGACGCCTGCTGGCTGGTCTTGGGTTTTTTCAAGATGCTCTGGAGGAGCGAGTTGGCGGCCCTGAAGGTGGGCTGCGTTGAGGAGTTGCCGGGGTGTGGGGCTGCAGATCGTACGTAGCAAGACAGACCAGAAGGGCACGGGGGCGTTGGTGTGCCTTGCAGCGCTCACCCAGAGCGGCATCCCCATCACTCGCATAGTGCAGCGGCACCTGGAGTGCGTGAGAACGGCCTGAGTTCACTCCCCACTCTTCGTACGGGGAATCACTTGGCCGGGCAAGCGGGGCTCGGCTTGGCGGCGCGGGGATTTCACTGACAGGCTGCATGTATTGCTGGGAGAATTGCAGGGATACGAGCCGGAGCTGAGGCTAGATCTCGCTAGGATATCGGCCCACAGCTTGCGCAAGGACGGGACCCCGCGGCTGCCAATGCTGGGGTGGGTCTTGAGGAGATTAAGGCGCACGGGTGGTGGAGGTCCGATGCAGTGCTGGTCTACATTCGCCGGTCCGTAGCTGTGAGGCGGACAGTGGTGGAGCGAATGTGACGCGACTGGGTGGGTGGGGGAATGCTTCGCTGGGTTAGGTGTGGGGCCAAAGTAACCCAAGCGAGGCCGTCGGCTGCCTACTTGTTACCAATGCGGAAGAGCACAGTAGCCCGGAAGGGCCGCACGAAGTAGCATGCGCGCTCTGGCAGGCAGGCTGGGCGTCTTTTCTCCCCAACCATATGTCCACGTCCCCGGTGCCTTGTTCTTGTTAGTCGTACTGTAACGAACGCGTTTGGGTTTCTCGTCCCGGTGTCTTGGTCTTGCTAGCTGCTCAGCCCGGATTTAAAGAAGTACTTTAACTTCGGCTATATGACCTCTCATCCTTTCGCAGACGTTTCCAGATTATCTTGTCAGTTGGGCGATTCCTTGGGGGGGCTGCCAGCCAAATCCAGGGGTGCCCCGACCCGAATCAGGCTCCAGCACGCTTGTCACGAACACAACTCCCAACACATGCACGCAAATACCACCAAAGCCAGCAATAATAAACTGACTTCTGGACCTTTGAGTACATCGCCTGGACACTGGGAAATAGAGAGGATCAGGGCCCAACGCACAGCCACACCACCAGAACTCCAAACCACCCGCTCACTCCTGCACCTCTAGCCCTCCAATCAGCTTCATCATAACCTCATCATCATGCACACCGCGTTCCACTTAGCTTTGGCGCTTTTCAGTGCCTCACAATAGGCCGCCGCATCCAGCTCGCTCTTGCCATACGTGTAAGTATCTTCTTTGTTGTTTGTTTAGACGGCCCGGCACCGGAGTCGGTCATTTTTGGGGGACTAAACGAGTCAAGGCTGTCGTTTCGCTTTAAATGTGTGTTGGTTTCGGGGCATTCAAAAAGTACAACATCAGAACGTTCTAACCCATTCTAGGCCTGCTCTTCTAAAATTCTAATTAGAAATTATATATTATAATTAGTTATAATTATTTCTAACATTCTAATAGAGCTGCAGCCCTACCTAAAACCCTAACACAGTAAAAACTACCTACCTACCTACTAGCTATTTAGGTACTTACCTACCTACTTACCTACCTGCTGCCTTCACACATCCAATCCGGATAAACGATGGCAGCCTGATGCCTTGTGCACAGGCGAAGCTGCCATTACACCCCCATGTCCGCCAGAAACACGTAACTAAATGTAGGCGCCCATCAGTCGAGGTATAACCCCGAGCTGCTAGGGCACAGCGACCACTCGAAATGCCCAGAGGGGCGTAAAAGCTACCGCAACAAGAAGCGCAAGCACCAGCAAAGCCAAATGCAGGGGGTTGAACCCCTCCCCAAAACTGTCCATGACGTCTGCGGTACGAACGCGAATCGCCATCACGAGCAAGACACAGCCTGCCTGCCCGTCTTTGTATGGTGTCTACGTATCTACACCACCTCCGTACAGTCCCCCCTCCTATTCCCCTCTAACCCCCAACCAGCAACCGCCTAGACAACAGAATGGAAGGTAGCCACGGCTCTAGCTACGCGTGCAACACCACATACAATGTAAGACGTACTGTACTACAAAACAGCACAGAGGCGCCGCGTCCGAGAAAGAAAGAAAGAAAAGCAAGCAAGAGCCGTGCGACCAGGATGAGCCTCGGATTGAATACAACGTTTGAACCGATACAAGGGACGCTTGTGCAACAAATTCTGAAACAAGTCCAAAGGACGGCGGCAGAAAGGAAAGGCAGAGGGGATGCAATCACTGGGGTACTGCTCAATTGGTCATTGGTCACCGGACAGGCTGCTGAAGCTCTCCGGGGCTCTCGGAAGGATTGAGCAGCGGCCTTCTGCCTTCTGGTGATACGAGCCGGGGAGTCAGGCCCCGGAGGCGCTAGGCGCCTGCGCCAGTGTGTAAAATCGATATACCATACTGGACGTCAACGGCCGGGCCGTGAACTCTCTCCCTACTCGTTTCACACCAACAACCCCACAGTTGGAAATCTTTCATCTTCTCGCCTTCTTCGTCCTCCCGCTATAGCTCATTCTTTTCCGGCAGAACAACACGCACACAACACACGCACTTCCACACAGAACGTATTGAGGTTTAAAGCAGGGCTGTTAAAGCCCAGAGTTACAATTCCAGCACCACTGCAGACCGCAGCACGTGGATAACCCCACGCTGCTACACATATCATCATGAGGCTCATGCGCCATTCGGCTGGCGGCAGCCAAGTATTCATGCCGTGAACCCTGCTACTGCCCCTCACACACACCAACCCCCAAGCCACCCGCTGCTGCGTTACCACACGCCTCAATGTGGAAACCTCCCTGCACTCGACCTACCTACCAACGTATTTCCACCACCCCTACTCCCCATGCATGCGCATACATACACGCGAAGCAGTAACATAACACAAGCAGTAAACACAAAGCAAGGATGCTACGTGGAACGCGCCGCCACATGATCCGACGTCCAAACCCTGCTATCCTGTCGGGTGGTGACAGTTCCCCCTAGGCAGCGAGTCCGGCGCTGAAGGAGGTGCCGGCTCACCCGAAAGTACCTGTCTCGACCTATTGTGCGAAGACAACAATGAGCGTAACAAGGTAAGGTAACATATTGGCCACGGAATGCAGTAAGGACCGAAAACCGGAAATCTTTTCATTGCATCGGTGTATAGCCGCTGTTGCAACGCGACCAGGGCCCCTCACGACCTGCCAGACGACTCGCCACCAGACTGCGCACGCTGGTGAGAGGGATAGTACGGCTGCGCCGCTGCGGCGGCAGCAGCCGTCGCCAGGGCGCTAGCAGTCGCTGGGTATAATGGCCCTCCGCCGCCGCCACCGCCATCGCCACCAACACCAACACCAACACCGCCAGCCGAGCCGCTTCCCCCCGAACCAAATTGCTGCAAGGCAAACACGGGTGACTCTGGGCACGGCTGCGAGGGCGGCCTCGATACGCCTGCATGGCTTGAGCCGCCGCTGGCCGTGCGGCTGCTGTTCCGAGAGTGGTCGCGTCGCTGCAGCATTGCAGGGGACCCCGCCACCCCCATAGTCCCCACAGGTGGCGGCGGCGGCAACACCATCATGGCCTGGCTGTCGTAGTTCAGCTCAGTCCAAGTCATATCGAAATCGCCGCCGCCGCCGGCGCCACCACCGCCACCGCCGCCGCCAGCTATTGCTGACGCGACAGAACGCCACATGGCCCCCGCTGAACCCGTCACAAGGTCGCCCCCGCCAGCGGCGCCAGTGGCTGCACCCCCGTGAAGGGGGCTGTTACTGACTGGGACGGAGAAGTACATGCTACTGCTCCCCGACGCCGCGGTGCTGCCGGCGCTCGTCCCTTGTGTGTCGGTGCTCATGCCGCGGGTGTGCATGGCGGCCGGGGGAACTGTGCCGTGTGAACCAGGAGCTAGCGGCGGCAACCCCGGCGGTGATGATGATGGTGCTACAGGTGCCTGGATATTCATCAAAAATGGTGATGCGCACCTATTTTCATCAAGTAATAGTCAAGGCAGGAAGGAAAAGGCATAAAAAGATGCATTCCGAGTATGTAGTACTGAATCCGCAAACCCTAAGTTCCGGCCAGTCCTCCCTTCAGCCATCTACTTCAGCCTCTTGGCCTCTCCCGACCTCTCGGCCAGAAGCACTGTCATCAGACAGACAGACAGACAGACAGACAGACACACGCAGCCACTGGTCGCCTGCACGCACCTTGTTCCCCATGTCGAAGGTCAGCTCGTACATCGCCGCCAGTGTCGCCCTGTGCATGTTCCACCAGGCCTGGCCTTGAGACTGCTCCGTGAACATCTTGCGATTGAAGCGAACCTTGACCAGCCGAACCGGGCCGCCTTTTTGTGCCGGTGGCTT